GGTGGAACTTTTTCCGTGGCGGGACAGAGGGAAACGGGGCACTGGAAACCCAGTGGTTTATTTCCACCCAAATAAATGTTACTCACCCTCCTGTGTGAGTCTCGGGAAATTATTTTCCTGGAGACCTCACAAGAACTCCACTTCCACAGATAACAGCTCTTGGTTTAATGTCCAGGCTGCCGACTCATCCAGGGCTATGATGCTATCTCATTTGTTTGCCTTCATGTCCTCGGCTTGAAGAACAGGGCTAACAGACAGCAGGATCTCCAATAAATATCTGTTAGAAGAGTGAAGGAGGTAGAGGGAGGAAGCTCTTCTGGTTCTGGAGCACTCTGGCCACAGCCACAGAGACAGTAAACAGAGTTACTTGATGTGGCGTGTCTCGCCTTTCTTGCCTGGAAAGTGGGGATGTGATGAGGGTGCTGAGGGCTGAGCTGAGCTCAGGCAGGTGCGAAGCCCTTGGGACAAAGTCTGCCGGGGTCAGAGCCCCCTGTGTTTATGGACGTGCCCATCCCCTCCACGAACATGCAGCCTCACATTCCTGCGGGCTCCAAAGTCTTCACCATCAGTTATCTCGTTCTGATTTTACTTCTCCCACAAATGCCATCTCATCCTCATTTTGCTTTAATAGGCAATGAGTCTCAGAAGAGAAGAATAACTCATCTAAGGCCTTAAACCCTTAATTACGGACACCAAACCCAATGTATATAATATTTAAGGTGTTTTCTAGCGTACTCAGTCAGTAGAATTGCTGATTAGATTTTGAGAACTACATGGCCCCTCTCAAAACAAAAATGTCCAGACCCAGTGTTAACTTATATTATTTTTATTTTATTGTTACTGAAATAGGTATAAGCCTACAATTAAGCATGAAGTCCTGCCCTGCCGGTGTGGCTCAGTGGACTGAGCATCGTCCCATGGACTGAGAGGTCCCAGTTCCATTCCCAATCAGGGCCCATGCCCGGGTTGCAGGCTCCATCACCAGTAGGGGGTGTGCAAGAGGCAGCCAATCACAATGATGTTTCTATCTTTCCCTTCCTCTCTAAATATTCAATAAAAACATTAAAAAGAAAAAAGCATGAAATTCAAACACTCATAATTCTATAAACCAACCATAAAACCAAAACAAATCTTCTAGTACAAACATAACCACAAAACCAGTAGAGTCCAAATTAACATCAAACTAATATGACTGATCACATGTTGCTGAAATCAAGACCCTGACATCAGGTTTAATGGGAGCAGAGTGATGTTTTTACATGTTTTATGTTTCATCATCATATTTGATTTTTTTTTTTTATCCTCATCTGAGGACATTTTTGCATTTATCTTCAGATACAGCGGGAGGGAGAGAGGGGGCGAGAGAGAGAGAGAGAGAAACATTGATGTGAGAGAGACACATCAACTGGTTGCCACCCACACAACCCCAACTGGGGCCGGGGACAAATGGCAACCAAGGTACGTGCCCTTAAGTGGGAACCGAATCCGGGACTCTCTGGTCCGCAGGCCGACGCTCTAATCTCTGAGCCAAACTGGCCAGGACTATTTGATTTTGATCATGATGAGTGGCATCACTTGAGCCACTGTCAGTCAGTTTTCTCCCTCCCTCCCTCCCTCCCTCCCTCCCTCCCTCCCTCCCTCCTTTCCTTCCTTCCTTCCTTCCTTCCTTCCTTCCTTCCTTCCTTCCTTCCTTCCTTCCTTCCTTCCTTCCTTCTTTCCTTCTTTCCTTCCTTCCTCTCACTTGAGGCCCCAAGCAGGAATTGAACTGGCAACCTTTAGGTGCTGGTGCATGGGACAATGTTCCAACCAACTGAGCCAGGCAATCATTGTTTTTTGTTTTTGTTTTTAATTTTTTTTCCTTTACTGATTTTAGAGAGAGAGGAAGGGAGAGGGAGAGAGAGATAGAAACATCAATGAGAGAGAACATCGATTGGCTATCCCTGCATGCCCTCCAATATGGGACTCACAACCTGGGCATGTGTCCTGACCGGGAATCGAACGGTCAGTCTCTTGTTGCATGGGTTGACACTCAACCTCTGAGCCACACCGGCCAGACTGTTTTTTGTTTTGTTTTGTTTTGTTTTGAATCCTCACCAGAGGACATTTTCCATTGATTTTCAGATAGAGTCGGAGGGAGGAAGAGGGGGAGAGAGAGAGAGAGAGGAAAAAAAAAATCAATGTGAGAGAGACACATAGACTGATTGCTTCCCGCATGACCCTGACCAGGGCCAGGGATGCAACCGCAACCAAGGTACATGCTCTTGACCAGAACTGAACTGGAAACTTTGATCTGTGAGATCAACCAAACCATTCAGGGCAGTCATTGTTTTCTTAAAAAAAAAACCAACAACTCATTTATAATTCAGTTTGGTGTGCCAAGCAATTCAAACAATTCATTCTCAAATGAATTTTTTTTTTATCCTCACCCGAGGACATTTTTGCATTTATGTTCAGATAGAGCGGGAGGGAGAGACTGAGGAAGAGAGAGAGAGAGAAACATCAATGTGAGAGAGACACATTGAGTGGCTGCCACCCACATGACCCCAACCAAGGCCGGGGACAAACTGCAACGGAGGTACGTGCCCTTAGCAGGAACCGAACCCAGGACTCTCTGGTCTGCGGGTCGACGCTTTAACCACTGAGCCAAACTGGCCAGGGTTCAAATGCATTCTTAAATGCAATAATGAAAAATGGAAATAATGCACTGAGTATAATATCGCTGTGTATATTTACTGTGATACTACTAATGAACTATTACAATTGTGTTCACCAAAGACACCATTCAATAAAGGCACCACTTATGCTCCAGCAAAGGACCCATTGTGCTTCTTGTTATGTAGTTCTTCATTCCTGAGGTGCAATGTGGGCCTGATGATTCAATCCTCCCACCACTTGACTCCACTGGACCTATCAGGAAACTTCATTCTCCCAAGCCCCAAGATGGCACCTGGCCTGCCTCCAGCTCTGAGCATCCTTCAAGTATTTGATCAAGTCTTTTCTTTTCTCATTAGCATGAATCAATTAAAATTAGTGTGGATGGCCCAGCTGGTGTGTCTCAGTGGTTGAGCATTGACCCAGGCACCAAGAGATCGCTAGTTCGATTCCCGGTCAGTGCACATGCCCAGTATGTGGGCCCGATCCCCAGTGGGGGGCGTGCAGGAGGAAGCCAATCCATGTTCTCTCTCATCGATGTTTCTATCTCTCTGTCCCTCTCCCTTTCTCTGTCTCTAAAATCAATAGAGAAAAAACAAAAATTAGTGGGGATGAAAATGGGGCCACATGCTAAACCTGACAACCTCAGGGGAAGCCTGCATGGTGGCCTTACACACTCAGAGACCTAAGATAAACACATAGGATGGTCTGAAACTAAAACTTTTAACTAAAAGCAGTTCATGGTGGGTAGTCATGTCCTAGGCCTGTATTTTTCTCTAACAAAGGTCACTTTTTACCTTAACTGAGCCTGTCTGTTGTCTTTTTCTTTTTTCTTTTTCTTTTTTTTGCATCTACAATGACAGTAGCGTTGAAATAACAAAGAAATTTTCTTGTCTTCCCAACCCCCACCCCAACCCTCAAAGCACAACCACCCAGAAAAAGAGCAGACCACAAATTCCCTCGTTGTTATTATCATGTTAATTGTTAACTATGAACTATACTGTACCCACCTGGGTAAAAGGAGTGTGTGTCTATTTGTTTTATCCAGTCCAAGAGACCTCCCGCTGTGCTTTCTCCAGCCTCCCTAATCTACCGCCAGTGAATTTCTTGTAACCTCTTATGCCTCCTCCTTTGATTGATATGTATAAAATAAGGTGCAAAACTGCCATTTTCCAGAGCATTTTCTCATTCTGTTGAGAGTTTGCTTGCAGGCAATTGTCTTTGGCTCAAATAAACTCATAAAAATTCTTACAGGTTTGGACGTTTCTTACCTTATACGTCAGGCCCATGCACAGTGTCACTCTCCACGGTGTCAAATTACATTTCCAATGCACTCAAATCTTTAAGAAACTATGCTCCTAGTCTCTGAAATTGATGTTTGTTGGAAATGTTCCTGGCAAAAGGAAGTTTTGAATTTCCACCAGTAAGCTAGAGGGTCCTGAGCCCGAGGCTGGGACTGAGATGGCTGTTGTCCTTACAAGCTAAGTGAGGGCAGCCGATGTGCCTACTTCTACTCACCAGAAGTGACTCCCTGTCTACTGGGCACAGAAGCATACACTCTGAAATAGTTTTTTTTTTTTTTTTTTTTTTGGTTCCCTTCTAAATAGTTCTAGTGGTGAACCCCAGGGGCTGTGGAGAGACCCGTTTGAGAAACGACGGCCTCAAAGATCACAAGTCTGTGAACAAGCACAGGCAGGACCTACTCTAGGTGCCCAATAAAAAGCTGCTCATTTCCGGAGCTCGGATTAGGGGGCCTGGGGAGAGAGCAGCTCGTGCCTGCGGGTCTGTCGCTGTCTACATCTGCTCTCTTCCTTCCCCAGGAAACAATGGTGGCCCCAACATCCCAGGCTCTCCGCTTGCCCAGTGTGCGCCAGGGCGCCCGGGCCACTCTGCAGAGCAGAGTTGACAACAGACTCCACTCCACCCTGACTCCCGTCCCCCAACCCCACCCCAACCCCACCACGTGCAGGCCCGAGGTGGCAGCGACCCAGCCACCGTCACCAGGGATTTTCTTGTTCTTTTTTTTTTTGTGCCGGTTTCAGGCTTTTTTCTGCCTGAGTGAAATGAAACAAACACCCGCTCGGCCTCCCGGCCACCAGACACGCACGCACCGGCACTCGGGCCCTGGCGCTGTCTGCCACTGTGCTGCCTGTGTCCGGGGCGGGACCCGCTTTGCATAAATAGCCGCGGGCGGCGCCGAGCCCGGAGTGCGCCCCTGGCCGCCGAGCGCTACCCGCTCCTTCGGCCCGTGCCCGCCGCGCTCTGCCTGCTGGCCCCCGAGGAGAGCGCCGGGCGGCCGGCGGGAGCGCAGGCTGCACACCCCGCCGGGCTCGGGCGGAGGCGGCGCGGCTGCCGTTCCGACAGCCGAGCGCGCCGCCGAGGCCAGGAGCCGAGGCGTGGTCCATCCCCAAGCGCGCCCAGCTTCTGCGGATCAGGTGGGTCCCGCGGGGCGCCGCCCGAGCTCCCCCAACCCCGAGGCCGCGAGCGGGGCCAGGCCGGGGAGCTGCGGGCTGGGGCGCGGGCGGAGTGGGGAGAGGAGACGCGCCACCGCTCCGGCTCTGCTTGGTTTCTGCCCTGTGTCTCCGCTTTTGTTCTCGTCGCTGCCTTCCAAACCGGACCCCATCACTGTCCTCATCCGGTCCCTGTCGCTGCCTCTGCCCCAGCCGTCCAGACTGGGGCCCGAGGGGCTGCGGGCCGAGGACTCCGCGCCGGGGCCGCGCCGAGAGGGGAGGCTCGGGGGCATGAGTAGGACCACGGGGGAAGTCTCGAAGCGGCGAGGGTCTGTCCCCGTCTCTGGGCAGGGAGGAGGCATGGCTCCTGCCCAGGACAGGATGGGAAGAGGACGCCTCTGGGAAGGGGAGCCTGGGCGGTGCAGTGAGGGGCACGTGAACTCCGGGCGCAGGGCAGAGGTGCGAGCTCGCAGGGCCCAGCACCAGCCCAGACGCGGGCAAGCGGGAAGTTTCAGACTTTGTAACTTCGGCAGCAAAGGGCCTGCTGCATTGGCGTGGCGGGAGGTAAAAGGGTCCCTTCAACTCTTCCAACAACCCCATTCTCACCCGAAAGGGACACTACCCCACGTTGTCCTTAAAATGGCAGAAAAACAGCTCAACAGAAAGATTGCACAAACTCTTGAAAGGCGTCCAAGAAACAGTAAAGTGGAAAAAAAATGTCAGGCGCGAGGAAAGAAGAGCGACTTGAGACTCCCCAATCTTCCGGCGGGGAGGAAGGCGGGCCGGGCGGAGGGTGTGGAAGCCCCTGTTCCCCGCAGGAGGGAACCCAGAGCCCCGCGGCTGCGTTTGTGGCTTCGCTGGCCTTTAGCCCTCCGGGATCCCGAGCAGGCCTCTGTGCCTTCTTCGTTCACCTGGAAAAGGGTGTGTCTCAAGGCAGGAGATGCAGGGAGGAGCCCTCGCCTAGCCTCCTCCGAGCTGAGAGATGCCTTTCCAGACACAGCCTGTTTCCACAGCTCCGAAAAAGGAATGCTGCTCTGAGTACGGAAATGCCCGGAGTGGAGGGGCTCGTGTGTTGGGGGGGGGGGGGGGACAGGAGGTGGTTCTTCTTTTGCACTTCTTTGCTTCTTTGGTTATACTAAGCCCTTGTTTGGAATTATCTCTGGGTGTACCTTGCCGCCCCTACCAGATGGGGGGCAGGTGCAGATCCCAGTTATTGTTACAAGTAACAGGTGCTCAATGCTAGAATAAGACAAGGTGGAAACAGGGAAATAGTCCCTGGAGAGTACCCGGTCCAGGAGATTTCAAATTGGGTTCCTAGGACCCTGGCTCAAGGACCAACGTGGTGGGGGAGGGGAGACTAGGGGGCAGGGTTCTGACTTTCCTTCTTTCAGACTGAACCAGTTCAGTCCCGCCTTTATCTCTTCTATATACTGGGAAACCCCAGAGGCTGTTTTTGATATCAAATTCTTCAGATCCAGCCAGGAGAAACTGAGTCGAGAGGTGTGGTTTGGGCAAGATCCTCCAGTAGCTGGACCTTCTGTGCTAACACGTGGGCCAGGGGGACCTTTCCCTGGCTGCTGTAGCTCTAAGCAGTCATTTCTCCAGCTCTTAGCCTCAAATCCAGGGCGCCCTTGGCGGCCTCCTGACCCTTCTGGGAGAAGAAGCCAGTGAGTCTCATCCTCTGAACCTTTCCAGGACTCAGGGGCACCTTCCCATGTGAGTTGGTTCCACAGGTCAAAAAAAGTTCAGTTCCCCAGGAGCTAGTCAGCACTCTGCCGGGTCTCAGCCCAGCCCCGCAGGGTAGGGCAGATATCATGAAACCATTTCACAGCTGGCAAAGTGAAGGTTCACTCGCGGGCATTCAGCTCTTAAATCGCTGCTGGGTTTGGAGGCAGCTCTGTCTGGTTATAAGGCGTGTGCACTTGCCATTATATCATCTCTCTTGATGGCAAGAAAATGACTAATGGAGAGATGTTATCAAGATGGGGGCAAGGGTGCAGGGAGAGTGGGTGAAGGGGGACAGCATTAAGTGGGGTGATGGGCACTCATCTGGGTGCATTCATGGTATAAGTATAATAGTATTAGAAATGAATGTTTTCTTTTTATTTTCATTTTGGTGTTTATTTTACAGATACTTTAAAAGTATTTTGCCCTGGCTGGGTTGCTCAGTTGGTTAGCGCAAATGTCCCATATGCCAAGGTTTTGGGTTGGATCTCTAGTCAGAACACATAAAAGAATCAACCAATGAATGAATAAATAAGTGGAACAACAAATTGATGTTTGTTGGTTTTTTTTTGGTTTTTTTTTTTTTGTCCTCACCCGAGGACATTTTTCTATTTTTTGTTCAGATAGAGTGGGAGGGAGAGAGAGGAAGAGAGAGAGAGAGAGACATCGACGTGAAAGGGTCACATTGTGTGGTTGCCGCCCACATGACCCAACCAGGGCCGAGGACAAACTGCAACCGAGGCTCATGCCCTTAGCGGGAACCGAACCCGGGTCTCTCTGGACCGCAGGCCAACGCTCCAACTGCTGAGCCAAACCAGCCAGGGCTGTTGGTTTGTTTTTTTTCTCTCACTCTAAAATCAACCAATCAATACAAAGTTTTTAAAATGTTTTAAAAATTTTCTAATTAAAAAAATTACATTTATTTTCATAGAACAAAATATGCCCAGTTAGAAGAAAATCAGTAATCTAAATATAAACCAGTCCTACATTTTCTCAGTGAAAAGATTAAGAAAGTAAGGCTAACTTGAAAACATAGTGCACATTCTAATAATAAAAATTAGTTTGCGATAGACTTGCCTAGGAATATAATTTTTTTTTTTTTTGGTATGTGCTCCTAGCGGGAGCCGAACCCAGGACTCTCTCATCCACAGGCCGACACTTCAACCACTGATCCAAACCGGCCAGGGCTGCCCCGGGATATTTAAATTCACATATAACAAAACTTGTAATAGAGAATTTTCTTTTTTCCTCCATCTTAGATCATGAAACAACTTTCTTCAAACTCTTTTTTTTAAATTTATCTTTATTGTTGAAAGTATTACAGATGTCCCTGCTTTTCCTCCCACTTTAAAAAGTATTTTATTTTTCTAATTTTTAAAGTGTAATTTATATACAATGAAATGCACAAATCTTAAGTGTTTTGTTTAACAAGTTTTGACAGTTGTTTACACCTGTGTAACTACTGCCCAAAATAAGATATAAAATATTAATCGTCCTAGAAAGTTCCCATTTTTAATAATTTTTCTTCTGCCTGCCTGTCCAGGTAACCACTTTCTGATTTTCTCACCATTGACTAATTTTGCCTGTTCTTGGACTTCACATAAATGGAATCATACTGTATGTCTCTTTCACATCTGGTTCATTTCACATACAGTGTTTTTCAAATTCATCTGTGGTGTTGCATATATAAGTAATTGGTTACACTTTATTGCTGAGCAGTATTCCATTATATGGATATGCCATCATTTGCTAACTTACTCTCCTGTTAATGGACATTGGGTTATTCTCAGTTTGGGTTGTTATTTCTTTTCTTCTTCTTTTTTAAATCCTCACCCGGGAATATTTTTTTTTTTTTTTTTTTATCCTCACCCGAGGATATTTTTCCATTTTTTGTACAGATAGAGTGGGAGGGAGAGAGAGGAAGGGAGAGAGAGAGAGAAACATCGACGTGAAGGGACACATCGAGTGGCTGCCACCCACACGACCAACCAGGGCCGGGGACAAACTGCAACCGAAGTACGTGCCCTTAGTGGGAACCAAACCCGGGTCTCTCCGGACCGCAGGCCCACGCTCTAACCGCTGAGCCAAACCGGCCAGGGCGTCACCCGGGAATATTTTTCCATTGATTTTTTTTTTTAGAGTGGAAGGAAGGGAGAGAGAGAGAGAGAGAGAGAGAGAGAGAAGCATTAATGTGAGAGACACATCGATTGGTTGCCTGCCGCACAACCCCAACCGGGGCTGGAGATAGAACCTGCAACCCAGGTGCATGCCCTTGATCAGGAATCAAACCCGAGACCCTTTGGTCTTTAGGCTGTCACTCTAACTGCTGAGCCAAACCTGCCAGAGCAAGCTGTCATTTCTTATAGAATTCTTTTGTGGACATTTGTTTTCTCTAAGAGTAAAATTGTTGGGTCACAGGGTATACCATTTTACATTCCATAGCAATGTATTAGACTTGTGATTATTCCACGTCCTTAACAAGAACTGGTGTTGTCAGTCTTTTTTATTTTGACTGGGCAGTGGTATCTATACCTTTTGTTTTATGGTGGAATTTTAAGAGTTGTGGGAGAAGACAACATGAGGAGGGAACAGATTATGAAATAAGATGACGGTGTGGAAGTTGCTAGGAGCCATGACCCACGAGGGAAGGAATCAAATGATGGTTGGAACTCTGACCTTAGGGATAGGAATTTCTGGCTCAGGAGAGCTCTGTGTAATACCTGAGATTTAAAGACCTGGTATTTGTACTCTGTAAATTAGGCAAGTTCATCCAAACTCATGGCTTTAAATGCTACCTCTCTAACAATCATCTTTATCTCCAGTTCAGATCTCTGTTTTGGGGCCCCGAACCCACATGTTTAACTGCCATTTGGGCATATCCCTACTTGGATGTCCCAAAGGCACTACAAACTTGGCAACTCTGGAACAGAATTCATTATCTTGTGTTGGCTTTCTGCCATGGATCACTGGATAAATAATGGTACCACTAGCTGAGAGACTATGTAAAGAGGACTGTTTGGGGCAGGGAGATAATGAATTTAGTTCCATGCTAGATTGAGCAGAGCAGGCTAGGAAGATAAGGACTAGAAAATGCATTGGGCAATTTGGAGATTACTGAAGTATATACTGAGATCAGTTGCGGTGGAATGTGGGGCAGGCAGCCTAGACTGCTGATCTGTGAGAGATAGAAAAGTGGAGATGCTGAGTATATTAAACTCTTTCCAGACATTGGATAAGATCAGGAGAAAATATTGAGCTCT